GACGAATGACCACAGAACGTTTGGTAACTCTATTCCATTCAGTTACGAAGTTATAGCAATTTAAATTTTTTTGGCGAGTAGTCAAACTTCGAGGCCTGGCCCCGCCCCTTCAGTATTTACGAAAAGTCAATTTTATTGTCTCATTTTGTTAGCCCATCTCTTCTGAGCAATTTTACACCACTTTTGAGACGATTGTGCAAAAAATGATCGAGCAATCCAATCAGAAACGGACCCTAAAAACGGCAAAAACGGCAAAAAATCGCCATTTCAACCCAAAATGGCCGACTTCCTGTTTGATATTGACCATGCTTGCAAGAGACTTTTCTGTGCGGACTGTTGAGTACTACAAGTGTACCAAATTTCATAACTGTACGATAAACTAAGCTTTATGGAGAGGGTTTTTTTCACACTGTAGGGGGCGCTGTTCAGCCATTTTCTCAGCGATTTTTTTGGAACCTTTAAAATATCAAAATTTTCACCAGGCCTGACAAGTGTGCAAAATATTGTGAGTTTTGGGGTATGTTAAGGTCCCCAAAAAGCCGTTCAAAGCGGACACGGAATAATAAAAAATAAACAGAGCAAAAACAAGAGGCCTTCGCAGCGCTTTCGCTGCTCGGGCCTAATAATCAAGTCATCAAAGAGTTATTGTACATTACAATGGCTGTTGGCTGGAAGGATCTCCAGTAGCGGTCAGTGTTGCAGCGAAACTGAAGAAACCTCAGACTGAAGACACTCTTGTGAAGTCTTGTGAAGAGAATGCTCAGGATTGTCCATAATGTTCTTGATTCTCTGGAGAATCCTTCTTTGCATTATCTCTTCCAGAGGTTCAGAAACTGCCGAAACTCTGGCTGAGTCCTTGAAAGGGCTTGGCGTCCCTCCATCTTGTTGGCCAGTGATCTCACATTGCCCATTATGATCGATGGAAGAGATGGTTTGAATTTCCTCTTTCTCTGTCTCCGTTTTGCTCCCGCTCTGCACCCACGCTTCTTGCGTTTTAGCTCATTTGGGATTTGTGGCTTCAGTTGAGGTATTATTTCAGCCTTTCCAATGTCAATCAGCTGCTCCCGATTGTAAACAGCTTGTTGCCATGGTTACACATCATAACAAATGCTCAAAAAGAGGAAAAAGCTAAAAATAGCAGTAAAAATCCTCCAAGCTTCACAGCAACAGAAACAGAAAAGTAAAGTGTCCAAAAAAATACAGTTTTTCTTGAGAAACTAGAAGAAAAAATGTGCAAGAAAAGGCAAAACGTACATATAGTCAACAGAGCTACTCCAACATGCAGCCACCCAGAGCAGTGCAGTTCCGGAAAACGACTGAGGTTGAGTTTCGCTTTACAGCTGATGACATCCACAGACAACATCCCTCACACTTTGGAAAAGCTTGCAACGCGCCTGTGTATTTGTATCTGAAAAATGAAATGCTTCGATTGACTGAAATCCCACCTCCATCAGCCTGAGCTCCACCCACTCCCGCTCTAACAGAACGCCATACAACACCTGTGTCTTTGTTGAACTGGTCTTGGTAGTCTAGTGATTTGCCTTTGAACTTGTTTTGCCATGTCCTGATGCCAGTTTGATTCTCCGTGCTGGCAGTAATTCATTTGTCCAGTTTAAGCAGATACATTTTTTTAAATTTTTTTGTTTTATTGATTATTTTTTAGAAAATATTTAGTGTCTGTAAAGATCTTTGAATTTGGTCATTTCCCAGCAGCATCTTAGTTCTGTATGAGACACATCTACTCTGCTCACCTCACATGGGTTTCAGCTTAACAAAGTAAAAAAAAAAAAAAAAAAAAAATATATATATATATATATATATATATATATATATATATATATATACTAGTTAAACAGTCTCAACTGCAGCATGAAGTCAACCGCTCTACTCACAACTCTGAGAAAGTGGGCGTTATTCATGGGCGTGTAGAAGGACGTAGAAGTAGGCGTAAAGTATTTTTGAATTGAATTAAAGTTAGTGACCTACTTCCAGGGGAAGCAGGTTTTTGATCCAAGAAAAGATTCATAGTGACCAGAAAAGCCTGATGATGCGCTTTAGTGTCTATCCTCGTTTCTGCAGGTACTACCTCAGAATCTGAAAACTTGCAGCTGACACAGGAAAGTGTAGGAATGCATCCAAAACTGGGATTGTGAGTATTTCTCACGAGTTAATAATGACATCACATGATTAAAAACTCCAAAAGTGAATTTTTCATGATCTGGCCACTTTAAAATAAAACAATGTTGAAAAATGTTGATTTTATGATAGTACTGCTCCAGTTTTGAAAACATCTTTGTGTCCAAACTCATTCAATGGATCAGTCAAGTATTTTTATTTTTACTGCATATTTAAAACAACTTTTTTAGCCAAACCAGTGAACAAAGTTTTAATATGAAACTGGTTTGTAAAGCAAACACAGCACAAATGAACTCAAAGGTTGTTCCATAGACTACAAGCCTCAACACATTCTGTCACCTCTGGTTTTGAGCTTGGATGTGGGGTGTGCAACTGTCTATGGTCTCACACAATCGAGCGAATGCAGTGAAAAACGCTAAGCTACAACAATATCCAATTAGGTTGGCGGTCTAGGATTGGATTGACTTTAAAAGTTAATTAGTTGTAGATCCAAAATCCAGCCAGTGGTTCATGAGAGATAACAGCCAACGGGGTTGACTCAGAAAGCAAATGGCTGAGGCCCTGTCCACACGTAGCCGGGGATCTGCCAAAACATAGATATTTTTCTACGTTTTGGCCTGTCATCCACACGAAAACTGAGTTTTTCCACACGAAAACTGATCTTTTTAAAAACTCCGGCCAAAGTGAAGATCTGCGTTTTCTCCGTTTTGGGTGTCTGCGTGTGGACAGACAAAACCGGAGTTTTAAGATCCGCAACGTCACTTTCCGCGACAAAAAATGCTGACATCACGTGTGCGACCTGTGTTTACACTAGCCGACAGCATGGATGCCCTCAGAGCTGCGCTCGCTTTATCAATTGTCCAAGCGCTTCTTGCTTGTTTGTTTTTGCAAGCGGAATTACTGCTCCTTGCGGAAGACCACAGACGAAGGACGAGGTTAAGAACGGGGGAAGTACTGCCGCCTACAGGTCTGGCATGTCCTTAACAACGTATTTATCCGGGTACGTGTGGACAGAGTTTTTTTTTTAAACGAGGTGGTGTGGATGCAAGTTTTTGGAGGGGCGGATATTTGTTTTCAAAAAACCCCGGCTACGTGTGGACTAGGCCTCAGATTCAGACAAATATCCTGCAACATCAGTTGTTACTTAGAATATGAGATGACTGTCAGTAACTAACACATGAAATGTTAGCTCAACATGTGTAAAATCCAGTCAGTTGTGTTTGAACAAATGTCCTGCACTTGTATAGCACTTCTCTGAGTCAGAGGACTCCAAAGTGTTATACTACAGTGGATTTATCATCCATTCACACACTGGTGGTGATGAGCTACACTGTAGCCACATCTGCCCTGGGGTACACATACAGAAGGGAGAATGCCATTCACTGGCATCACAGATCCCTCTAACCACCAGCAGCAGGCAAGGAGGGTGAAGGGTCTTGCCCAAGGACACAACAAATGATAGTGCCTGGATTTGAACTGGCAACCCTCTGATTACCGGGTAAACTCCTAACCCCTGAGCCACTGTCGCCCAGACACAGACAACTACATGTTTTGACCTATTTTACCATCCAGCAAAGAATTCATGCTGAGGTTCATTTCAAAATTTGCATACAGACAAACAAAATATGCGGGTAACAGATTCTCCATGGATGAATCTGACCATAATATTTTTTGTCATTGAGCATCAGTAGCATCACTCTCCGATCAGCTCGTATGTCCTCATTACGGAAGAACCATATGTGAGAAAGTATGCTTCTGTGTTGTGGACACAGCCCTTCACTGGCATTGTTTTTGCCCCGCTCACACTAACAACACATCTAATTCCATTCCCAGAGTAATAAAAGGGTACTTGGACAGAAATATAAACATCTCCCTAAAGCTGAACCAGATGCTGCTGAAAGGGTTGAGCTCAGGACTGAGAAGAGGTAGAATTGAGAGGCAGAAAAACAAGTGAGGTACTCATATGCGAAAGTGAGTCAGGACCCAAGCCTCGACACTTTAAAATGCTCATTCCTCGATTCCGTCCGCCATAGATAGATTGACCTTTCTGCCATGAGGAGAACGGAGAGGAAAGCTCCTCAGTCTGGGTTGGATTCTTAACAGCGTCTCACATGATGCCTTAAGATGCCTGTTGGAGAGGAGAATCAGCTGCTGCACGCACAAGAGAGGAGGTTTAACCACCGCATGTAACCTCCATGCATAGCAAACATCAGGGTGCTAGATCCATCAGATCGATAGATCGATAGATCGATAGATCGATAGATAGACAGACAGACAGACAGACAGACAGACAGACAGACAGACAGACAGACAGACAGATAGATAGATAGATAGATAGATAGATAGATAGATAGATAGATAGATAGATAGATAGATAGATAGATAGATAGATAGATGATAGATAGATAGATAGATAGATAGATAGATAGATAGATAGATAGATAGATAGATAGATAGATAGATAGATGATAGATAGATAGATAGATAGATAGATAGATAGATAGATAGATAGATAGATAGATAGATAGATGATAGATAGATAGATAGATAGATAGATAGATAGATAGATAGATAGATAGATAGATAGATAGATAGATGATAGATAGATAGATAGATAGATAGATGATAGATAGATAGATAGATAGATGATAGATAGATAGATAGATAGATAGATAGATAGATAGATGATAGATAGATAGATAGATAGATAGATAGATAGATAGATAGATAGATAGATAGATAGATAGATAGATAGATAGATAGATAGATAGATAGATAGATAGATAGATAGATAGACAGACACAATGGAACAAGGCAACAGTTAAACATAATTTTTCAAAAGTCCTAAAAGAAAGAGTAGACACTTTGACATCTATCAAGCTTTATACGGATTTGAAAGAGTGGTACAAAAAATACAAAAATACGTTAACGTATCATTTATCATTCAGATTTCACAGTACATACACAGGTTGGTGCTCAAGAGGCGAGCGGCTCGTATTTACAGAGGAATAATTCATATGTTTCATAAAACCATTCAAAGTGTTCATTCATCTGCTTTGAGTTCAGAAGGTTTAACAGGTTTGTTTATGTGGTTATGTGCAGGTTTGACTAGTATCAACAGCAGATCCACTCAGTTCTGATGACAATACACAGTCAGGTATGTTGAATTGGCCCAAATGCAGAGCATTCCCAGACTAATTTAATTTCAGTTCAGGTGGTGCATTTATTTTCCTGTTGGCTAAGCCCATAAAAACAAACAATCCCAATCAGATCAAAGCAGCAAACCAGTGCCTGAACAAACTTGCATGAGCTACAAAAATGCACTTACAAACCAAAGCCAAGCAGAAGGGTTTGAATAGAGTTCAGGGTTGTGCCAATGGTATTTTGAAAGTCTGAAGGACATACAACAAAGATATTAGACTTGATTGCTGAGTATAAAATGTTGTGTGTCTTTTAACTCTTCAAACATACAAGCATTATTTGAATAATGGTCTGTTTGTTGGTTTTGGAGACTACAAACCTGTAAGAAGTTGTGAAAGCCAATGCCAGTGACTGCTAATGCAATATACAAAGAAAAATAAATAAATATATATGTTGCATCAGCTTTCTGTATTATAAATGGATGCTTCACTGGGATAAAAAAAATCATAAATAGAGTTTAATATCTTCTCCAATAAATAGTATTGGCATTCTATTTACAATATGCACACATCTCCCAAAAAGCTCATATCAAGACACATGCATTTATGGGCCTCCACCAGAACACGTTATATCATACTTCTGAGGCAATAATGCTGTGTGTGCATCCTCCCACAGAGGTGTTTCGTATCAATGCATCATTCTTTTTGTGCACAAAAAGGATTGGGAAGTGATTGTCAAAGTAAGAAGGTCATGATGGGAAGCTAGTTGCGTGAAAAGTTGATCATGCTACTGGGTTCTTTTTTTTTTTTACACAGAGTTTTCCTCACTTCCTTGGAACTTGTGAGATTTATTGGGAGGATCTGCAAAAAAAAAAAAAGAGAAAAAGAATTAGAATTTTGAGTTAGTGTTACAATTGAAAAACGCTTTTAAGACCAAGTCCATTCATTATACGTTTGCAGGGGTCTCTAGTATGGATGAAGGCCTTGTGAGTCGTCTCTGTTGGGAAAAAGAATGGCACTCATGTTTCAGGACGTAGATTGTTTTTCTTATTATTATTATTTTGTATTTGTTTATTTCATTCAAAATAAAAACAAAGAAAACACATAAACAATAAGATATTTATAACAACAACAAATCAAATTTGAATGAAAAGGAGCAGAATGAAGAAAAACATCTTGTAATTTCTGCCCCCTTTTCCAGAAGAAATAATCTATTTATATACAATATGTCATGTCCAGAAATGGTCATTTTTCATCTATAGACTGACCTACATGCCATCGGTCGGCTGCAGACATGAATCTGCCTCTGTACGTCTGTTAATCTTCCAAGTTGCAGGAAAAGATTCGACACTACGTGTTCACACTCAGGTTGTCAAGACTTCAACATCATGTTCCCTTCTCAAGGTCCTTCTGTGCCAAGCCTGTCTGCTCATCTTGGCCGGACTGGACTGTTATAAGAGTGACTTTTTTCAGCTCATATGAGTTAATCATTTGTGAAATGGAATAATAATAATGTCTTCATTAATCTGTGCTTAAATCAATAAGGTTGACTGATCTGTGTTTGAATGACTGAAATTTGAAATGAATTATTATGTTGAATGATTTATATATATGATGATCAGTAATGCTTGATATGACAAGGCAATCATCATCTACACCCAGACACAAGGTTCATTAGAGATAAATTAAAGTTAAGTTAAATTCATAACACATAGATATTTCCTTACCCCAAATCAGAGCATCTGGTATCTGAAAGAAGGCGTGATGTTCTGAGGTTTTTGGTAATACCCCTTAACATGGCACATTCCGATTGGACAGGAATTCATAATATGAGAATATTAAAACAGAGCTCACTTCTCAGTGAGTCAGTTCTAGAAAAAGCTATGGAACGGCCGTCCGGAGTGAAACCTCTTTAACCCAGAGCATTTTTGACAAACCCTGCTAAAAGCTGCCTACCGCTGACGCAGATCAAAGCTGATACTGTTCTGACTCCCTAAGAGTCCTTCTAGACGCAAACGGTTCCATCCATCTGTTGTGATCCGGAAACATCTCTGGACTGAAAAGTCGGTGCCGCAGTTATTCTACAAACCCCGGTGCCCCGAGGTCATCCAACCATCCTGACTTCTGGATCCGCGAAGAGGGTCTTCCCAAAAGGATGAGGTAGACACAACATGAATCGCGTCTGATGTGGCTTTGACAAGATTCAACTTCCTAGTTATTGCAAACCAAATTCTTTCCTTTTTACACCTAGGACTCGAGTCTTCCAGATACAAATGTTCTGATAACCTCACATTCACATATAGTCACCATACATCACATTCCACCCACCTAGATCTATCCATCACAGTAAATATTAGTTAACTTGTCATGTTTTAATTGTTTGGAAAATAAATTCTTACTTTTTATAAACTTGACTCTCTTCTTGAATCAATACGAAGTGTTCTACAATTCCTGAATAAACAAAGAATTCTAAATCTTCTGGTTAAACATTAAAGACCAATCAGACTGGATTTCCATATTTATATGGAAATTCACATACATTGGTCAAAGTGTAGGGTAGTATATTAAGCTTCAAAAGCACCCAAATACATACGGTAATTACCCTCTACAAATACAATATAAAATTTCCAATTGTCAGACACACATACAGACTCATTTAAAACTTTTTCCTGTTCTTGATTCCAGAGTGATCATGATCATTGATTTAATTTACATTTTCATAATTATTTAGTACACTCAATTTGGTACATTTTTTGAATATATTAAATGACAGAGTTTTTGTAATTTCCCTTTTAAGGCAATTCCATAATTTAACACCATTTACAGATAATTCCATTCCTTAATTTTAGTTCTAAATCTAGGTTTTGTAAACACATCAGTTTCTTTCAGCACGTAATTACCAGTTCTCTTTTCAAATATCCCCTGAATGTTTGTTGGCAGAGTACTTAAATTGGCTTTATACATGGTTTGTAAGATTTTCCAGTCTTTTAAATCATGAAATTTCAGTAATTTATATTTAAAAAACAACAGGTTTGATAGATTTTAGCTGGAGCAGAGTGGATCAGAACACAACACTAATCTTATTTCCTGCTATTCTGTCATCTCACTTCTGATTGGACAACAGCGTTGTGACCCTACCACCGAATGTTTATTTTGCAACATTGATGTTTTATCTCCACAAATGACTCAAGCCTGAAGGAGTTCTGTGTTGTGGAGTTGCTAACGCTAAGGTTAGCTTTTACTAGCTTATGTGTTCTCTGTTCTCTCCTGGACGCTAAATCAACAGCAGCCTTCCACGTCACGAGCCAAAATGGGTGAGTCCATGAACGCTAATTCTCAGTGTGACATAGATCTAACTGACTTTTGTAATCTGAGCCTTTCCTTGTCTATTTTCGATCAGTGGCTAATGTAGGAAATAGGGGCAGATGACTAGATTTTCACGTTCATCCTGCACGTTAAACTCGGACTGAGCAATCATATTTAAAAAATAACACGTGAAACTGGTTTCTGAGTGAACTTGGTCTTTAACATTGGTAAGAGTTCAAACAAGTTAAGGATCTTACTGCTGCAGGAGCCATAGTGACGGACTCCTATGGAGCGTCCGAGGAAGCAGGTGGCCCTGCGGAGGTGGCAGGCGCTCTTGTAGGTGATGTTGTCATTGCCACAGATCATTTGCTCAGATGGCATGGGTGCTGGGCAGAGTGCGGTGCGACACATGACACAGTGAGCACTGTTGGTCTGGTCGGTCACGCAGGTGTGTGTTCCCGGACACACAACGTTGGAACACGACTCTGAATGAAATACCCAAAGACAACATTCGGAATGTGCAAAATATCTCTGCTTGCAAGGAGCTTGAAGTGATTTGCTTACTTTTGCACTCTCCCTGATACATGACTACCAGGTCTGGGTGTCCCTCGCAGCGAGCCATGAGCAAGGCGCACTCGTTTCTGTAAGACCTGCCATTGCTGCCACACACAGCGTGTCCTGTGGAAACGTGAGAGCAGTTTGGAGAGCACACACACTGAGGCCGTCCCATCTTCATCTTGCAGACCTTGCTGGGGCCGCACTGGACTCCCTCACATGTGTCTGGAAAAGCACAGCACGTGCGCATCAAATTGTCAGTGTTGTGTTACTGTATTAACAAGTTCAGTTATCACCCTGCACAGTATTTACAATAATCACATCTCCTCAGTGATGGTTCCACACAAAAATGTCTGGTCTGGTGCAGCGAGAGGCCGGGGTGTTTCCATTACGGAGAAACGCTGCTAACACCAGGTTGGCTGTGGGCTCCTCCAGGGATACAGAGGGGCTCTGAGGGAAATGGAGTTCCAATAGCTGCAGAGGAGTTTACAGGCTGGTACAAGAGGAAGCCCCAGGCTCTCCTACAGCCCATATAAGGTCAAAGCTCAGGGGGAAGTGCAACTCGATACAGTGCAGAGTCAGCATTAAAAAAGACACTAGTGATTCCCGATGAACCCAGACTCCTAAAGCTCCACTACATTCACGAATACAATTCCTGTCTTGAAAAGCAGCAATTTTTGCTAACTTTCCAATGGTTGAATAATTGCTTGAACTCATCCACCCTGAGGGATTCATTTTGAACACATGTGCTGATAATACAAACAGGATCCAGCTGAATATGAACCTGAATGAACCTTGGGGAGATGGTAGAAGGAGGAAAGTGCTCAGAGCAGCAGGAGTCATGGAAAGCATCTCCTTTTGTCCAAGTCTGCATTTTGTAGGAACCTCCATCAGGAACTCACATTAAAATAATCGTTTTATTCATGGCTAAATAAGGTGGAAAGTCTTTCCAGGAAATTCAAAGATTACTCAGAAAGAACACTCACATTAAAGGAAAAAAATAGAAGAAGAACCTAATATGACTTGTGCAGAGATAGTGCTTGTTTGAAAAGCAACATCTATCTTACCTTTGAATTTTAAAAACTGTTTTTCTTAAGTGTAATCAATGATCTAAATAATGTTATTTGTAATATTTGAAATACTATTTTTTTCTTAGATTGTTTACCTTTACAAGGTTTACAGGAGACAATACCCAGGAAGCCCAGAAGGCTGACTTCATTCATGGGCAAACTGGTGTTGGACCACGCGGTGTCCAGTCGTCCCCCAGCGCAGCACTCCTCCCTGGTCACCCCTCTCATCAGCACCATGTCACAACGATGGTCCTGACTCTGCTGCAGCCAACACATCCCACCTGGAAGCAGTTAACACAACAACATTTCATTAAAACAGCTGATTTTATTTAAAAGTAAATAAAAAGTTCATTTAATTTGATCTTGTGTCAGTTCAGTTTGAAATTCCACCGTCTGGCAATTGGAGTACTTTTCTAACTTCTTCCTTCATTTTCCCGTAAAACATTATATGAGATTAAATTATATTTTACTTGTGTTAAAACATTGTCCCCCAAGTTTTTCATTTTAAATCCAAACTCCAAATTTGCACCCTAGATGAGGCACAAGTTGGAAAAGTCCTCGGATGAAAATCCCAAACGAAGCACACTCACCACTGACTGGTTTCCATTCGACGAGACAATGAACAAAAAATGTCCCCAAAACAGAAATAAAAAAACTCATTTTCCAATCTAAGTTTTGTGAAAACCTCTCCTCAAAAAGTTCTCTCTGAGCAAACGCTGACTCTTCTGTCAAAGAGAGCGGACGAGTCCAACCTATCCGAGCAAGTAGCGGTCCCTTCTGTGAATGGATGTGTTGTGGATAAGTGATGTCGTTCCGCCTCTGTATAAATATTTAGCCCAGATGGAATTATGCTGCTGGGATGGGCGATCCTCTCAGCCAGTAATAAGCCAGGGCAGGACACAGTTTGACTCTGACTCAATTTCCAAAGTCGGGAAATGATCCGTGCCCTCCAGCTCCAGACGCTGGGCACTTATGCAGTATGACCTCACAAAACATGTTCACACCACATTAAACTTACTTAAAGGCTAATAAAGTCAGAAAAATTATACAGCTTTGGTAAATAATGGTTTTTTAATTAACATTTACGCTCGTATAGTTGGGTCTCCTTATTTAATGTATTTCATACTTTTTACTTTAACTCTTAAAAATAGTTTAAAAGTGTAAAATGTGATCTTTATCTGACCTGGGTTTTAAAGTTAAAGTCCCATTAGTTGTCACACACACTGATGTGTGTGTGAAATTTGTTCTCCGCATTTGACCCATCCCCTGGGGGAGCGGTGCTGCAGACACAGCCGTGCTCGGGAACCATTTGGTGGTTTAACCCCCCAATCCAACCCCCTTAATGCTGAGTGTCAAGCAGGGAGGCATTGGGTCCCATTTTTTTTCAAAGTCTTTGGTATGACCCGACCAGGAATCGAACCCTGATCTCCCAGTCTCAGGGCGGACACTCTACCACTAGGCCACTGAGCTGGTTATGTAGTTATTTGGTCTTTTCTGCTATTTGTTCTGACTTAAGGCAGTGGTGTCCAACCCTGGTCCTCTGGGGGTTGCTCTTGGCATGTTTTAGTTGTTTCTCTGCTCCAACACACCCTATTAAATGGTTTAATCACCTGTTCAGCAGCTCATCAAGCTGCACACATCTGTTAATCACCCACTGATGTGTTGAAGTAGAGGGAGATGGTGGCCCTTGAGGACCAGGATTGGACACCACTGCTTTAAGGGTTTTAATGTCCTACTTTTCATAAATTATTAGGTTATTGTTTTATGCACACAATGATCTTAGCAGGTTTATGTGCCTTAAAGCAAAGCAATCATTTAATGAAATTAGACACTTTTTAAATATTTTTAAGTTAAGTCCCGCATCCTGGCCTGGGGACTCTCTGCGTGGAGCTTGCACGTTCTCCGTGTGCACACGTGGGTTTTCTCTGGACACCCCGGCTTCCTCCCACAGTCCAAAAATGTGAACGCCAGGTTGACTGGTCTGTCTGTAAGGTGTGAGTGTGTGTTTGCGTGGTTGTTTGTCCTGTGTGTCTCTGCGTTGCCCAGTGATGGACTGGCAATCTGTTTAGGGCAGGGGTGTCAAATATGCGGCCCGCGGGCCGGATCCGGCCCGCAAGCGGGTTAAGTCCGGCCCACGAGATGGTGGTGTAAACTTTATTTTCATACTTTACAATGTAGAGTGAAAATAAACTTATCTTTGTGAGCAAGTTTTCTCTGTAATGAGTAGAAATAAAACAAAGCTGCGCTCAAGGCTCACACAAGAACTTGAATCACATCCTGAAGTTGGCCGCCACTCAGGATGTGACTTCTGATGTTGATGTGCTGGTGAAAGCTAAAAGATGTAAAGTAAAATGAGTCAAATATACTTTAAGTGCTGCATGAAACTGATCTAGCCATGTGATATTTAAGCCCTTTGAATCACTAAGGGATGTTGCTTTTATTTATTGATTTTTTAAACTTTTTTCAAAATTTCAAGGACACTTCAGGTGTTGTACTTGTACTACACTGTCCTCAGGCTGCAGCTTTGTTTTATATTGATTGTATTAAAACAAAGAAAACAATCTGAAGTTTTTTTTATAATTTACCGGTCCGGCCCACTTGGGACTAGATTTCCCTCAATGTGGCCCCTGAGCTAAAATGAGTTTGACACCCCTGGTTTAGGGTGTACCCCGCCTGCTTGCCCCGAGACTGCTGATAGGCACCAGCCCCCCATGACTCTGCGTGAATAAGTGGGTATAGAAGATGGATGGGTGGAAATGAGAGAGAGAATCGGTAGGGAAGGTGGTCTGCTTTTGAAATTCAACAATAAGAAAAAAAAATCTACTGACAATGTCAAGAATATTTAGCTTTTCTGGACACAGATTGAGATGTAGATAACTGAAAACATTAAAATAATGTGTGTAACTTATTTGTCAACTAAAGGAACAGACATATTAGTTTCACCCAATCACTCATTCAAATGCCACTTTATCATAATCTACATTTTTTGCATCTTGCACACACATAGCTGCACTGTTCTGCTCCCCTTTTGCACTCGTTCACCCTGAGCCTCTTAAGCTTGCACAGAGGACAGAGTCTACCTTCCTATCTGTCATGGTTTTTTTCCTCGTCCAAATGTTGTTTTTCATGTCCTCCTTATTGGGAGACATGAAGGTAGCATATGCTGCAGGATCTGAGCTTTTGTGAATGATGTTGACCTTCTTCAGCGATGATCCCCAGGGCAACAAAGGAATGCTGCCTGAGAAGAGAAGGAAGGACAAAAAGAGAGTGGTGAGTGAAGACTGTGGGTGGCCTGCCTTTTCAGAGTCTCTGCAGATCCACTCAGCCATCATATGGTTTGGATCATCGTCGCCATACAAATGAATACAACATGGTGGGGACTTTAGTGGATGTTCGTTGTGGTGCTTTTTATTATGTCTCATTGTGGAGGAATAACAACCTTTTGTAAAAGCTACATGAAACTGAAGACTCAAAATGTAGTCAGTTTCCAACGTAAAACCAAACGAACGTGTCAAAGACAGGTGTGGGACTGAGACTGATGTATGTAAGATCCCTATCGCCATCTGGTGGAAACAGGATGTCATTCACTGCAATAAACTTTTAAAAGATGTGCTTCCTTGGTGAGGTTTTCCGGGCACGTCCAACCGGGAGGAGACCTAAAGGGAGACCCAGGACACCTGGAGAGACTACGTCTCTCGGCTGGCCAGGGAACATTGTGGAATTTCCCCGGAAAAGCTGGCCCAAGTGGCTGGAGAGAGGGATGTCTGGGTTTCTCGACGTAGGCTTCTGCCCCGCGACCCGACTCGGGATAAGCGGAAAAGAATGGATATATAAATATATATATAGGCAAGATATCTGATCATGGCTGCACAGGAACAGGCCATGAACACCAGACAAGACCCAAGGTGTAGACAATGCAAAGAGACCCCTGAGACAATCTACCACATAACTGCAGGGTGTAAGATGCTAGCAGGGAAAGCAGACATGGAACACCACAACCAAGCTGGTATGGGAGGATCTTTTGTGACAAATGTTTATGTTGCTTGCATTGCATCACGGGAGTGTGTGGTAAGAAACAACATATTTTGCCTATAATTCGGTTGTTTTGCACGTTTGAAGGAGGATTTAGCGAAGCAGATGGATCATTCTAGCTTTGGGGTTGGTTGCTCGGCCCGTGGGAGGCTTGGTAAAAAGTTTTATTGGAGTTTCCTCCGTAAACAACTGCGAAATATGAAAGAGATGATAGGAAGCGACCCGGACACTCTGAAGAAAGCCTGGATTCCTGCAGTAATGGACAGTTTCTGAGACTCATTTAATTCATGGTAAATCCTTGTGACTAAGTATTTAATTAAAGAAGCTGTTGTTTTCCCATTCTAACTAAGGTGTCTCAACCCACAATCATTATAATAATAAATAAATAAATAAATAAATAAATAAATAAATAAATAAATAAATAAATAAGGACACAGATTAATGAAGACTTACCCAGCGAGGATTCATCCATTTTCTTTGGCAGTCACCCACAGGTGATGAGAACCACTTTGTGGCTCTGTTCAGCAGAGCTGACTGCTGCTATTAGCATGACCACCGCTTTCTGTTTTCAGAAGAGATCGACTCAACTTTCCTTAAAGAAAATAATTATTTATGAGTCAAGAGCAAAGGGTCAGAGTGAAGAGCACGTCTGCCCAGCAGATTTGTGAAAGATAAAACAACAAGCAAATTGGACTAAAGTATTCCATCATCTCAGAGCTCTAACAGGCTTTCAATAATTTTTCTTGTGTCTTCAAAACAGATTATATATATATATATATATATATATATATATATATATATATATATATATATATATATATATATATATATATATATATGTATATATATGTATATATATACATATATATATATATACACATATATACATATATATATATATATATGTATATGTATATATATATATAAGTGTATAAGTGTATATTTATATAAGTGTAAAGCTGTATATATATATATATATATATATATATATATATATATATATATATATATATACATATATACATAAATGGCACATGTTTGATAATTATTGATTTAGATGTATGCAACTTTAGCAAAATAATGAGCTTTGATCAACCTTTTAAAATATGTTTTTCTCACTAACTTCAAATAAAAAATAAGATTAAGTTTTTTTTCATTCAACAAAGAAAAAATATATATAATGAGCTTTTTACAACATTAACAGTAGTTTCGTCCTCGTGTTTCAGTCATGTATTTAATCCTAAGGTTTTTGCAACGTTTTTGTCACATTTTACTTGTTATATCAGTGTGGGAAACTACTCAACCAGATAATTAAATCTGACGAGAAACTGCTGCTAGTCTATGCTACATGGTTGCATTAGAGTAAATTGACCACATGAGGGTGCCCATCACACATCCCAACTCTCCCCCCTTTGCTCTATAGTGTCAGAAATAACTTCATTATAAATGTGTCTTCCTTTTTCTTGTGTTTAACAGATGGTGGTCAGAATGTTGCCCCGTGGAATAAAACTGGCATCTAAATTAGTTGGTGAACTGATTAAATCAACACTTCAGACTCAAATATTTTTATTGCATTCTTGTCCACACTTTTTTAAAATAAATTATTTTGTCAACAGTTGCTTATATTTGGACATAAACAATGCATTTTGTCCCGTTATCCTATTATTCCGTTGTCAGGATGACCTGTACATCACATCCATTCATCATCGTGCAAATATTGGACACTCAGCTGCTCTGGACTGACAGAAAATGTGAAACTCCTGGTCTGTTTCTTAT